CTCTTCCTAAAAGTCTCAAACCTCTTTGATTTCAATCCAATTCTCTTATCATCTTCATACAAAAGTGTGGTGAGTTTTGAAGTGATTCATCTTCTTCCAAGAAGTGGCATCACTTGAAGAGTATTCTTCACCTCTTAAGGTGAAAATCAAAGCCTCTTCTACCTTGGGAGGCTTTGGAGAAGCTTGAGAAGATCGACAAAGCCAAAGGTCTAGGGAGGAGCTTGGAGGATAAGCCATTGTCCATCTAGATTCTCCAAGAAGTTTCCATCACGAAGCAAGTCAATAAGTGAGACTTAAGGATTTATAATGGTCATCTTCACTTGCTACTCATATATAAAGAAGCATGGACAACCTCAAAGAAGAGGAAAGAAAGAATTCATTATTCTTGTAATAAAAAGAATTCATTATTGCAAGGTTATTCTTTGTACTAATTAAATAGTTTTTATCATGTTTTGCTTGTAATAAAATTTCTTATTACTTACCTAATTTAAATTTTCATTTTAACTTGAAACTTAAAAGAAGCTTTGTATTTAAAGAATACATGGTATTGAAGCCTAGAGTGACTTTGTTGTTCAAAGAATACTTAGGTAATTTGCTTGAAGAGACAAATCAAAGAAAACTTGGGTTAAGTCAAAAGTGACTTGTGAAATAATTAATAATTGTATCTTTGAGAAAGATGATGGTACTTAATCAAGTTGATCAAGAACTAGACATAATTTTAGTTATTAAGACGAATTAGTATAAAAATACCTTGAGTCTTTTGCTTTACTTCGTCTACACCCTTTGATTATAAGTTTTAGCTTACTATTTTGCAAAAAGTGTTGAGTTTTTATAGGCATTATTGTTCAAGTGTCTGTCTTTACTCCACAAAAAGTTTCACCATTTCTCTAAAAATAAAGGAAATAAAACAGTTACATTTTTCACATAAACAAAAAATATCATTTTATCATTCAACAACACATCTTTTAACATACCATTGTAATACATTTTAGAGTTAAGTAAATTTTTAGTTCCTCATTTTAAAAGTCTAATTTTTAGTTCCTCTTAAAAAATTGATGGAAAACTCTTGGAGAATCTGAATGGCTTTAGCTTCTTCTTTATGTTCCTCCCTAGACCTTTGGCTTTTTGACACTTCTCAAGCTTCTTCAAGGTCTCTAATGGAGGTATAGACCTCTGGTTTCACCTTAGGAGGTGAAGAAATCTCTTCAAGTGATGCCACTTCTTGGAAGAAGATGAACCACTTCAATTCTCACCACACTCTTTAGGAAGAGGATAAGAGAATTGGAATCAAATCAAAGAGATTTCAAGACTTTAGGAAGAGAGAATTCAGAGGAAAATCTTGGAAACTCTCAAATATAACATCCAAAGTGAAGTTCACAAGTGAAGAAACCTATATATAAAGGTGGAGTAACTTGTAGAGCAAGTTAGACAAGGTAGGGACACTTAGATCTAGATTAGCCAATCCTAGCTTTTCAAGTGTCACCTTGTCTCCTAGGAGAGGCAAGGAGGAGACACTTAGATCTAGAAGAGCCAATCAAGGGATGCCAAGTGTCACCTTATCTCCTTGGCTAACCAAGGGACAAGTGTGCCGGAGAAGCCAAGTGAAACTCGACCATGGATGAGCTAGGCGGCCAAACTTGTTTCCTTCCATCTAAACCAATCCAAAAATATTGGAATTGATTTAGTTAGGTTCACCAACTGATGGTGAGACCTAGCTAAATCAATTCCTTGGATTAAATCGAAGAAAACAAGCCTAATATGCAAAAATTAGTCTAGGCCCACTAAAGGCACAATTATTAGTTTCACCTACACACTTGTTATTTGCCACCCCACTTCTAATACTAAAAATAATAAAATCAATGACCTTTAATAAAAGGTCAATTTGAGTAAAAGTCTCCAAGTAGCATACCCTAGAATCCTAAAAGTATGATCTACAAAGAAAGAAAGAGGTGTCTCACAAATTCAAAGACAAAAATACACCTATACAAGTATCTACTATGTACAAGTACTATACAATGGAGACTAAGAGACTAATAAAAAAAATCATACTCAATGCTCATATAGAGTATAGGTTTAAAAAACACCTCCTCTGTAGAAGCCTCCTCTAGCTTCCTGGCCATAGACATAGTTAAAGGCCTAATGGTCCTTATGTGTGAGCTTCTTGTAGTTGGCATGTGTGAGCTCTCCTTGGATGGTCCTCCATAAAAAATGGTCATTTTTTAATCCTCCATCAATTTTCCATCACATAATTAAATTAGTCCTTAAGAGTAAATTTTCTCTATTAAATGATAATGTGGGCTAATTAGCCACATCTTACTAACTATTAATGCTCACATGACATCTTATTAGATGTCAAATTATATGACAATGTAATTTTTCTATTATCCTATAGTCATAATTTTGAAGTGTTGTTTCAATGTTTTTTATTTTGAAAAAATGAATGTCGTATGTCGCATTATGAACTAATATAAAAATAATATGTCATACAATTTGGAACCTACTCAGCAACCACGTGGACATAAATAATCCAATCACACATGACTTATTAGTATGGTTATCAAAATCAAATCGAACGACCAATTAGATCGAGAACCGATTCTTAACCAATTTGATTGGCTCAAAAAACTCTTTTGCAGCATACACATGGAAAATCGGTAGAATCGATAAAAATCAGTTTGAATCGGTGTAATTAAAAAATGATTTTTTTTAATTTAATTTAAAATATTTTAATAAGAAATACATATTTAATAAGAATTATAAATTAGAATAAATTATTTGTAATACTTGTTCTATAAATATAATTTAATCATTTATGTTAATTTGAAATTTTGAATATCATTATTTTTTTATAATTTATATTATATTAATTTAATAATTTTTATTTTAAAAATAAACTTATTATTATTAATGGATATTGTTATATTTTATTAAAATTACTTAAATATTATATTATATTTAGTTTTTAATTTTAGGGTCTAAGATTTAGGGTTATATATATTAAATGTTAATAACCTATAATAACATTTATTTTAATTTTTAATGTTATAAAATTATGATATTATATTTAATTAATATTATTTAAATTTTTTAAAAAATATTATCATTTTATTAATACCGCTTTAATCACTATTTAACTACGATTGAATCATATAATCCTGAACTAGTACTTAGACTAATTCAATGATGGTTCGATTTTGAAAATATTACTTATTAGCATACATTATCACTTATGAAAGAAGATTTAAATACCAAAATTAATTTATGTGATAAAATTCCAGAGGACTAAAGGTTAACAAAAAAAATTATAGAAAAAATTAAAAATTAAATTATTAAAAATTTAGGAACTAAAATCCAATTGAACCATACATCTAACAAAATTCCTCACAAGGCTGATCATGCCATTTTGTGGCTCCAAGACAATATAATATACAAAGATTCCTTATGTATAAGTTTTTTCAAAATTAAATATGTATTATATTAAAAAATAAAATATAACATCAATAAAAATAATACATATTTGTCCATGATGTGAACAAGATTTTAACAAATCTTAAAAAATATGCATTAATTTTTTTTCTTTTAAAAAACTCTTGTGCTATCTTTTTATCATCAACTATATACGTTTTCTAAAATTCCTGCATTATGCATCAACTAAAAAACAAAACACACAATTTATCATAAGAGTCCCTTATAATTTGATATGTAAAAATATATAATTCCCTTTTATGTTTTATGTCTTTTTATATAAAAAAATGGTAGAGAATAATAAAAGTTTCTTTAATGTTTTTTAAAAAAATAAATGTTTAATCCGTTAAAAATTTAAGAATTTGTGATAAATAATTAAAAATTGAACTAGCAAAAAAAAAAAAAAGAGAGAAATACTAGTAATATACTTTTTAGCACATTCTTTTAAATATATTTTAATTGGTTAAATTTATTAAAAAAAACACAAAATTTGATGTGTCTTAAATCTTATTTAATGATTCTCCCTCTTCTAATTTTGAAGTTATCTATAAGATTAGGTGTGTTAAAAAATATGTTGCTATTACTCTTCAACTAAAAAAATAACATTAAAGAGATTATTTTATTCAAAAAATTAAAATTATATTTTATTTTTGGATTCCTCCCCGCCATAATACACCCATTTTTTTCCAACGATAAAGACCCGGCACTGAATCCTCATAATTATCGCAAAATAGTAAATATATCTTATGCTATTTAATGAGGTTAACAAACAAATTATACTACTATTAAATAACATAACATAACATACAAAGAATGCATCACTTACTTTCAACCATACCTAATTGTTGATAAACTATTAATCATTTTCAAATAATTAATTTGTCAAACACTTTAATTTTTAAGCCCATTCAATACTTCTGCTCATTACATTTTTTCATTAAATACTGACATATAAATATTTCAATAGTTATATTAAATATTTAGAAGAATTTTACTATCTACAATTTCACCTTATATAATATCTTATTTGACTAAAATCAACTAAAGATAAACTTACTATAAAATAGTAGATAGAAATTAGAAAATGTTATTTATATGATTATTGAATAGTAATTAATGACATAACAAAATAACAAAATAATAGTAAGTTAGTAATTATTTTTTTTTTTTAAGTATTCACCGTCGATAGCAGTAATTAATCTTCTCATTATATTAAAAATACTTTAAAAGGTGTGATAGCTGAATTAGTAATTACTTAAAACTGAATAGTATTTTCATTTATCGAATTAAGATTCAACAAAGCCTTGGAAGAACTTTATTTCTGGTATAAAAAAATCTATTTAAATAAATATGTTTAAAAAAAATAGAATTTCATTAATCCGATAATATTGAGAAACCAAGCTCATTTGGGGCCGTGAATTATTTGTGAAAAGCCACTAATTTAAGTATGATTGCTTGATGCTTTTACATAAATCTGGAATGAAAAAGAAATTAAGTTTTAACCATAAAAGGCATCCCTGTATTGAAAACGAAAAGTTAAACAACAGAGAGCGAGGGACAGCTCAGAGCAGACACATAAGATAACCTCATTTCATACAGACATAACGTTCAAACTTGGCACCAAAAAAAATAACGCTTGAAGCTCTTCGTGTTTTTCTCTCTAACGTAACCCATCGTTTCACGCAAACACTTCGACGCTCTTTAAATGCTTCCAACTCTGAGCATTCCGTGGGCGGAACAAGCGGGGTTCGAAAACGACGTCGTCATGGGGGAGGCTGTTTTTCCTTCCTTCAAGTCCATGCTGGACGGTGACTGGTACCTAAACTCCGAAGCGAACAATCTCCAAAACGACGCGTTTCAGATGCACTCGCTGGACTCCTCCTCTTCCGTGCAACCCAAACCCTGCTTCGGCTCTTTCTTCGACCCTTTCGACAATGCCTTCGATGTGGGACCCCAGTGCGGATTCCTCGACCTGAGTTCGAACCCCGAGTTCGCGCCGAGTCAACTCGGCGCCGGGTTGGCTCGGGAAGAGGCGTTTGACGCGCTGGCTTTGGGCAAGGCCAGCGCGCTCAGGCCTCTCGCCGCGCTGCCTCCGCCCACTCTGTTTTGGAAGCGGGCGGAGCGGTGGCGAGAGGTCCGGAAGTTGAGGGAATTGGTGGTGCCGGTGCCGGTGCCGCCGCGGTTTGCGGCGGCAACGGCGGTGGGGAGGAGAAGGAAGAGGGAGGAGGATGAGGGGGGAGTGAATTATGAGGGGAATGAGGTTGTGAAGTTGGAGAGTGGTTTTGATGCAAATAATGATGATGGGAATGAGAATGAGAATGAGAATGAGAATGAGAACGAGAATGGTGGCGATGGTGGAGGCCAGAAGGGGAAGAAGAAGAAGGGGGTGCCGGCGAAGAATCTGATGGCTGAGAGGAGGCGGAGGAAGAAGCTCAATGATAGGTTGTACATGCTTAGGTCAGTTGTGCCCAAGATTAGCAAGGTATGGGAATTTGGATTCAAGCTCTTTTTCTTTGTGGATTGATTATAAATTATAATGTTGGTTCATGCTTTGTTGAGTGGTTGGTTGTGTTTAGAGGTGGCAAAATGGGTCCACCCATGAAATGTAAGGTTTGCATTTAAAATTTTGAGCCTGGATTAATTATGGCTCATGGGTCATTTTACCAACAAAGTTGAACACGGTTAGTAGATAGTTGAGTTTCTTAAACATGCTGACAGGAGAAGACTTTGTTAGGAGAGACAAAATTACTTAGGTAATCTCTGTGTTTCCAAAGGAATTAGTCTCTGACTATCTGTTAGGGGATATTCTTGTTTCACACCCAAAAAAAAATTGGTCATTTTTTAACTCAATTGAATCAAACCTGATATAGGCTTACCCAGAAAAATTGAGCTTTCAGAGAGGGTTTGGGCATCATTTAGAAGCTTGAATTGAGTTTGGGAATTTTATGTACTTGTTCACAATAAGTCGCGTCCTGCATTGGACCTTGTAGTCTGCTTTTTGCCACCTCTGGTTATGCGGAATAATTGTGATGGGTTTTAATCATGTTAGATTATTCTGTGAGGTGAGGTGACTTTTGGTTGTTTGTGTTTGAAGAATCGTGTGGGGTTTTTTATGAATCTGAAATTTAAGCTGTGTGTATGTGTTGGTTTGGTTTGGTTTTGTTGTTGTTGATTTGGTTATTGACATCAATAATTTGCTCCCTTGATGTGTATGAGATGATAGAAGCTGATCATTTGTTTTTTGGTAGATGGACAGAGCTTCGATACTCGGTGATGCCATTGACTACTTGAAGGAGTTACTACACCGGATTAATGATCTTCATATTGAACTGGAGTCAAGCTCGCCTGGCTCATCCCTTCCACCTTCTGCTAGCTTCCACCCTGTGACACCCACTCCATCTACCGTTCCACCCTCTGCAAGCTTCCACCCTGTGACGCCCACTCCGCCTACCCTTCCCTGCAGGGTGAAGGAAGAACCATGTCCCACCTCTTTGCCATGTCCTAATAGCCAATCAGCAAAGGTATTCGTCACAGTGCAAAAGTGTTGTTCTTCCCTGCCAGTTGATGTGTCAGGCCCAAGAAATCTCCCATAAAGCTTTGAATTATCTGGATCTTTGATGATTTATTGAGTGGCTTAATTTATTCATTTAGGAGCGCTATCACATTATTTTAAACTTTAGACTGCAAGGTATATTATAGAGTAATCTTCCCTGATAGTCATTTTAGTCGCTGTTGCTTGCAAATCCATGATAATCTGTCTTTGCTTTGATTTTGACTTCTCACATGGCCAACAGGTATAAATTTACGATGAATTCTAATTCAATGATAATAAAGAACAGAAAATTTGAATAAACGTCTCCTGTTTTTTTGGTACGACTACCATCATATAGACATAGTGTGTCTACCTGCCATTGAACTTCAGAGGCTGCATACTTCATGCATGTGGACTGTTTACATCATTCACTGTAGGACCAATATAAAAAATTCTGAATTTACTCTTTGCTAATGTTATGGTACATATTGCATTTTGGAAGCTCAAACAAATCTCATGTGTTACTTAACATGCCTTACCACAGATAATCGGGTCCCATGTTTTATCTGTCATTGTTTTGATGGCTTCAGTTTTATTGACACCCATCATCATTTTGATTTTTTTCTGGCATTGTTTTCATTCAAAACTTCATTTTACTTTACACCCATCCTTATTTTCATTCCTTTCTGTCATTGTTTTGATGTTTTTCTTTTTGACACCCATCATCATTTTTGTTTCTTTCTGTCATTGTTTTGATGGCTTCAGTTTTCTTGACACCCATTAAATATGTGAAGTATCGAAGATATATGTGATCATGTGAGAACAAAGAAGTATTGGTTTTTTGACTGAAATTTTTAATACCTAAAAGCTAGGAAATGACATGCATATGACATGTGAATGTATAAACAATTAAACATAGTTGAAATATGTTTGACATACTTTTTATTCCATTTTGTTTCACTGCTCCTAACAATAGTATTTCAAATTTTCGATGACCATTAATGCAAATCCCAAATGTGTATTAACTATTATTGCAAACCAATGAGGAAGAATTAAATTCAGGAGATACTTATTGGTTCATAACTTAGTGGCACTGCAACAGAGGAAATTGTTTTAAATTGAGTTCTTCTGAAATTTATAGGTGGAGGTTAGGGTGAGGGAAGGGAGAGCTGTCAATATCCATATGCTTTGTGCCCGCAGACCAGGGCTTTTACTTTCTACCATGAGGGCATTGGATAACCTTGGATTGGATGTTCAGCAGGCTGTTATCAGCTGTTTCCATGGTTTTGCTTTAGATGTGTTC